TATATACTATATATTTTATATACACTACATATAGTTTAAAGGAAAAGGAAATGGTTTATAATCTTTAGAGGAAAAATGAAAAAAATTACTGCTTGATCGTATAATATATATTGTCACTAACGCTGTCATATACAGTTATTCCGTACAACTCACAGAGTTTTAATCGTGATGGATAACATAATAAACATTGTGCACAATATACCTGAAGAGGATCTACTTATCATCATCGATGATGTTTTCCAAAACATTGAAAACATTGAGAACATTGGAAACATTGATGATGATGAGTACATGTCAGATGACTCGGGATATTGTTCAAATTAAGACGTATATGTGTGTGATACGACCGAACGGAATGTCAAACGAAGTGCAAGACGTATGTGTGTGATACGACCGAATGAGTGTCAAACGAACTGCAAAACGTATGTATGTGATACGACTGAACGGATGTCAAACGAACTCCACGGGACATTGATCAGGATACTGTGCAAATTAAGGTAACAACACTAATAACATTAATTCATTTTTACTTATTTTATTTTTTATACATGTTGGAGTGTGTGTAAACATGTTATAAAAACAACATAATGATACTTATTATTCTATAACACCACAGTGCGTGTGTGAGCGTAACGTCTCTCAAAAATTATAAATATATGGTTGGGAGTGTGTGTGTGAGCACGCTATAGAACAATAATAATGATACTTATTATTCTATAACACCACAGTGTGTGTGAGCGTGACGTCTCGCAAAACAAGCCGCAGCTTTCTGTAAAATGATAAATATGTACATATTTTTTTAAAAGTTATATTTTATACCAATTAAATATTTAAACTTACATTCCCACATGTCCTCTGCAACATTAGGTTCATACGTTCGGAGACCGAATAACTCATTAAGAAATAACTCCTCGTCGTTCCAGATATCCATATATTCTGCTCGAAATTCTCGTTCGGCCCGTCTGTCCGCGCGTATCATTTGTCTAGTTAAAATATTCATATATCCTTTAATATGAATATTTCCACGGTGTGTAGTCTGAAACAGAGCATAAAAGTGAATTAGATATATATTGTTATTTATACATCATATATTATAAATTCTACTATACTTACAGACGGGATTTTAAGGATTTTGAGCTCATTTGCTAATTCTAACTCGCAGATACGCTCATTGTCAACAGTGATGTACTGAAAAATATAACACTATATTTTAACATTACAAATGTAAATACAAATAAACAATATTTAATGTAAAAACACACTTACTCCGTCCACTGGAAACTCATATGCGATCTCTAGCAGATTCTGCAAATAGCTCATTATTATTAAACCTATCACTACAACACAACGTTTCCAGAAAAATGTGTATAATGAAAAAGCCTCATCCATACGCATTTATATACCATAGTCCCCCATCAAACGTACTGCATAAAAATAGATACCTTATAAAAAATTCTCGTTAAGGATGTGGTATCCCAACAGGAAAATATGTAAAAACTGTGTAAAAGGAAATCATTCTTATTTTAATATCATTTTTTTATTAAACAATTACTTTAAAAAAACACAACAGTAAAAAATAGGTGTTAGATGAACAGCATGGAGCGTTTGGTGTGAGCAAATGCAATCGAACGGCATCGGGTGTGAGTGTGAGTGAGAACGATCGAACGGCATCGATGTGAGTGCGAGCGATCGAACGGGTATGAGTGTTGGTATGAACGAGAGATTGAACGGGTGTTAGATAAACAGCATGGGAACGTTGGTGTGAGCGAGAGTGATCAAACGATATCAATGCGAGTGTGAGTGAGAGCGACCGAACGGGCGTCAGGTGAACAGCATGGGGTATTGGTGTGAGTGAGAGCGATTGAACGTCATCGGTGCGAGCAAGAGCGAATGGGTATTGACGCATCCGATAAGGATGTGGTATCCACCAGGAAAATGTATAAAAAATCATTCTTATTGCGAGCGAGATCGAGCATACGGCAAAGGAGGTTCTGAATACGCGAGGGGGTCGAGGGGGAGGGAGGGCGAACGGGCGTTGGCGCGAAAAAACGCGCGAACTCCCTCAGTCGCCCTTCCGCTCTCGAGCTCGCAGGACCTTCGTCACGTCGCTCCTCGCGTCGTGACGTCACGAGCTCACACACACATGCACCCGTGGGGACGGGGGCCGGGGAGGAAAACTGCGAGAGGTGGTGGGAGACAAAAGCAGCTCGCTCATTGGCTGTCCCCCCGCACCACAGTACCCCTCTCACCCAGTTTTCCCCCCGGCCCCTCACCCCGCGGGATATCCCATGGGCGAGGATATACTTTGTTTTCGTACTAAAGACTCTTGAATAGAAAGGTAAAAGTACGCATCACTTTTTTTATCTCGTTAATTAAATTTTATATGTTGCAATAAAATATATGTTCGTTTCGCAATTTATAAAATACAATAGTATATGTTATATGTTGCAAGAAATTATATATTCTTTTTGCAATTGGCGTAATTTAAAGATTTGATTTCATTTTTTTTTATACATGCATACGTACTACTGAGGGGTAATTTATAATAAAAAGTTAACAATGTTACCACTTGAATTATATTATTTATGTAACGGTTTTTTTATTAGTTTATGTAAAGTACAATTTTTTATGGAAGGTACATGCACACTTAGCGCACGGTTTTTTTTATTAGTTTATGTAAAGTACAGTTTTTTATGGAAGGTACATGCACACTTGGCGCCTTTTTTTACCTTTTTTTGAAAAGGTCATTTTGTTAAGATAGAAGGTTACGTGACAAGAATCGATAATATATGCATTTGTGATACTTGCATATTACTAGAAAGCTGCCCCGTATATATACTCTGAA